ATTGTTTTGCAAGACATTATTGGGGTCATAGTCTCAGTCTCAACATAGGTGACCTTGTCATGTGATATGCTACTGTACGAAGGACCACATTACTTGAACAACAACATAGCATTGCAGATGAACATAAAAAATCCAGGGGTTCATATAATAGACACTATCACTGACCAAGCCTTGTAACAAATAGGCCACACATTGATCAGGATGGTAACACCTTTGCCTCTTTTTGAGCCAGAAAAAAACATTGTATGCATATTCATGAATGTGTGTGTGCATTAAAACTTACCGTAGTGTGCTTGGAAGGCTTGGGGCTTCACTACCTGGCTGCAGTGGCTGCACATCACCAGGTAGAAGTCGTCCTGTGCAGGACACTGGCCAAATATGTGCATGTCTGTACAAACAGGAAGAGAATCAACCAGAAGTCAAGGAGAGGAACATAAAATAGACATTCACCTGGTGCTCCAGTTGGCAGCAGACTGACTCAACATTCAAACATCCATAATATGTTGTAATAATCCATGATATGTTGTCATAACACTTTAATAGCTCAAGATAAGGGGAGTCAAGTTTGATGGTATATTGGTTGCTAAACATGAGAATGAAAATTGGTTACATCGTTATGTTGCAAAACACACACATGGAAACACGTCACCATATTAGGAACATTACAAACTAAAGAGCAGCTCACTCGTGGTAAGGCAAAGTCACCACATGCAAATCCAGATCGCTCCCAAGTGTGAGTCCCCATTCATCATAGAGAGAGTCCTGATGATAAGGAGCTGGAAACGGGCTGAGCGAGCAATCCCAAGGTTACTCTCTGTCAAAGAACTAACGTCCCTCCAAGAAGTAAACAAACACAGCACATCCAGGATGTACTGTGTGAAGCAGAGAGTGGATGACTTGGATTTAGGATCTTTTTTATGTTTCCTGTATTGTTCTTCTACTGGGTAACTTCTTCTTTTCCTTTCATCTTCCCAATGTCATTTAAAAAATAATCCAGCATATTACAACTCTATGAAGAATAAATAATAATATATGTAGTAGTACACTATTGTTGTCGTATTTAAGATTCAAATCTAACAAAGTGTTTGTCTTAACAATAGGGTTGGGAACCGAAACTCGGTTCCAGATGAGAACCGATAGGAAAATGCCGGGTACCGGGTAGCGGGTACCCATACAAAATACACAATTTTGGTTCTGCTTAACGGTTCCTAAACACGGTAGACCCTGTATTCCACCGGGTCCGTCTGCGTCGCGGGTCCGTCTGCGCCTCGGCGACCCGGTGGAATACAGGGCAGACTGGCCATCTGTGTGTTCTGGAGAATCACAGAACGGCCAGTCGACGGCCGGCTCGGTACACTGACGGCCGGCACCGCCCTTCATTTTTTTTAAACGGCATCATGTAAGTTGCGCTGACAGGCGACAGAGGTTCACAGTTGCCCCGCAGCGAAGTTCCCCCCGCCCTCCCGTAGACAGTTCAAGAGCTCAGTCACCTCATAACACCAAAGATGGATCACGGTAAATGCTCTGAAGTGAGGCTCCACTACACTACAAAAAAGACAATGGAAAGTATAATGCCTGTTAATAGCTTGCCACAGGCATAGCTCAGTTAAGATAAAGCACAGCTATTGTGTAATACATTTGTATTGCATGTATATTTTTTTATTTGTAAAAATGTCAGTTAAAGCTTAAAAGAATAAAGATATTTTTGTTATCTAAACGTTTGACCTCTTTCTTTTACAATTTTGGAATCGAAACGGGGAATCGATAAGAACTGGAATCGATAAGCAGAATCGGAATTGATACATTTCAAACGATACACATCCCTACTTAACATTTAAACGAATACTGTAATATTATAAAATAAAACCTCACAAAAAAGAGCGGCAACAATTTGTACATTTGGCAAATTAGTTAAAAATCTGAAATGTTGATAATAGCTAAATTGTTGAAATAGTGCCATTTTATGTGACCGTCACTTTGGGCTTTAGGAAGTTGTTATAGACAAATCTTACTTTATAGAACAACAAACATACAAAAAAAGCAAACAATAATTAAGAGAACAGATCATTGATAATGAAAATAATAATTTGGTGCAGACTTGCAATTAAAAGAGGGATACTGGTTTTCTTTGAAGTCTGTCAACTTGTAAAAATTGCATCCATCAATCCAGTAATAAGGTCATGCTTTCATGACTCATAAAGAGTCCTCCCCTTAAAGCAGCTTATGATTAACACAAGAAGACCTTATGGAGTAGAAATCTAAATGCAGATACCAAGTCAAGTCTAGATTCAAAAATAAATAAAGCCAAACCGGAAGAAATGCCTGATTATAGGGAGGGTGTAATGGATGTATATCTCTCATAGGGCCAGTGAGAACGTCCAACTTTCAGGCACACAATCATAAAGAAAGTTCCATAGGAAACAAATGGCATGTCTCCGTCTCCAGCCCACCAACTGAATGAGAGAAAACCAACACTCTTCACGAGCCACTCTAAAAAAGGCAAATCAGAGGGAAGTGCCGCTCCTCACCAGAATGTGATCAAAATGTACCCTGGCGCAGAGTACCAGAAACCACCTAATTAAGGAGTCTAATTAAGAGATTGCCTGGGGCGTTATGATGAGATGCGCAGAAGACGGGATACAAGAGGAGAGGAGTGGAGTCCCTCTTCAATATGTACTCTGCAAGGCCGTCAAGGGTTCTCCGAGACCACAAGACCGTAAGGGATGAGGGCCATTAGGCAAAGGCCATTAAACAGGGCCTACCTGGAGGAGTTCCCTCTCAGGGAGGTCAGTGGCAGTCTTGTTTGGATGAATTGACAAGCCTGATGCTCTTTAAAGCATGTCAATTGTCTAAAGCCACTCTGCTAAGTGTCTCCTTTAACAGCAGTGGAGCGAAAAGACTCATTTTCACAGCGGCTGGGGTCTGCCAAGAAGAAAAGGCAAACGTCTTCACTTAATAGACAAAGGCGTGTCAATTATATGGAACTTGAGTAGGGAAGCATGCTACTGATGGGCACAAACAAGGGTCTAACAACCAGACAAAGAGAAGAAGTTCAGTCATTTGATGGCAGTGATTGGATATCTTTCCTTATAAGACTGTTTCCATCAATCTCTCTGCGAGCCATTCTGCTGCACCCCTAGCTAATTTAAGTTATAAAGAGATATTACACATATAAAATCAATAACTTCCCGTGTATTCTCCATATAAACGTTCACCTTCTCTCAAAATGTTTATTGAAACAGGCCAAGAACTGCAGGGTCCAACCACTTTCTCTTGCAGGATCAATAGCAAGGTCAAACGACACTCATTCCCAAACTGCTGCTGGTGTTGGAGAGTTCTCCAAAAACGGGCTGCTCTACTATAAAAAAAGTGCACTCTGCATTCAACGCACTGGCACAGGCTGAACTGTACCGCTGAAATGGCCTGACTTGAAAAGTGGTCCAACTACGCCACTGTGTCTGCCCCATTCTCAATCTCCATTTTCTCTTCTTTTGCGAGGAGAGGATGAAAAGGATGGAGAAAGAAAGTCACCGTGGAAAGACAAAGAAGAGACAGAACAACCAAATGGAGCCGAGAAAAAGCAGAGTCGAGAAAGAGCACAGTAGAGAGAGAGAGCAGAGAAGCAGGCCGAGGCGTCAGCGAGACAAAGAGAGTGAGCAGAGGACCTGCACTCTAGGAGGAGAAAGAGAGCCTGTGAGCACGAGACAGAGGAAGAGAGTGAGCCTCCAGTTAATCTCAGCATCCTCATCCATGGCAGTGATGAATGATCTAGGTGGAACAGTATCAGCTCTGGCTGCTTCTGAGCAGCACACACGCTGGCTGAATCTGACCTGTAGCTGACACTGGCACTACATTTCCCAGCTTCCCTCACTGTGACGGCACCACTCTCGCATTCAGAGGATGAGTGAATGCGTCCGTCATTATTTGCCATGCATTGTTGAAATGTGTTAATCATCTATGTGTGCTAGGATAGTGGTCACACCACAGGAGGAATCTGGTGGTGAGTCATGGCAGGAGGTGTAACCATCCACTTGTAATACCGCTACCAAGCACACACACACAGACTCACAGAATAATTCTATGAACACACATTTCAGCCGCAAGATGTGCTGACCAGCCCCATGACACTAATAACAGACGCTTCAACATAACAGAGACATGATATCAGACGATTAAACGTCAACAGCCTTACTCTAAAATGCAGTTCATGACTGAAATACAATAAACGTATCTAATGCTCCAACTAACAATCCGAGGTGATGATTTTAAATGTCCCGTTAGGTCTAAAGCCTTAATCAGGTTGAAATGAAATTGAAAGAAACAGGAAGGAGCAGCATGTTGGAATTGAACACATTTCTTTTCAGCGATTAATCATTTATCAAAAGGAGTTGGTTATACATTTTTCAAGCCATCGATTAGTTAACTAATTGTTGATCTTATCCGATTCAATTCTTGACAGCGTTTCTTTTGAACAAAGCAGACAGCTTTCTTTAGGTGACTCACCACTTCTTCTCATCCAGTGCCTTGTATCTCACCCTATTTTTTTTTTAAATGTTGTGTTACATATTAAAGATGTATTCTCTTGCCATTAGGAACCTTTAGGACAAGTTATTGACACTGCGCAATGGTCTTACTTAGTGTATGCACATAGACCGCATTGTTGACTCGTGCAAATGCAACATTAGATAAATGAAGGAGCCTGCAATTAACCCTTTCCTTTAGAGCACCGTGTGGAAAGGAGAAGAAGAAAAAAAAAATAAAAAATCTGGACACACTGATGATGTTAAGTGTTCCTGTGATCAAAGGGAAATGTGTCATTTTTCGTGATGGTCAATACTCATTGAGATTTAACGTCAGGCAGAGATCCTGTTTGTGCAAATGCCTTCAAAGAAAGGCATGAAAAAGAAACAAGAAACCTGACACAATGCTGGAGAAATCTGTGTCCAAAAGTGACCAAAAGCTGACAAATGTTGTGTCAATTATTCAAACCTAAATGATCGGTTTGTTGTTGACTGTCGAATGAATGACTGTGTTGAAGCATCTGAGGATGATAATCCTGGTTTTGCTAAATAAGTGCCATATTTCTCTGCCAAATTAGTATTATTATTATTATTATTATTATTATTATTATACACAAACAGATGTATATTTACTGTGCGTTTAGTTCGGAAATACAGCTTTTTTGAAAAGTGCTATGTTATTCTAGAGGTTCTATTAGCTGCAATGACTGCCCCATAAAAGCAAAGTCACACTTGATGCGTCCTGCTCGTGTCCTTGAGACAATAGGTTTTTCTGAAAATGTGATTAAAAGTAGCTCTGAACACAAGAGGACAGTGCAAGTCATTAAAAAGCTATGTTTCAAAACCCAAACGCTGTTGTTACGCTGTTTGTCTTTCATTCATTTATTAAATTCTAAGTTGGAGGAACAGGTTTTTTAACTCATCCCCTCAACTTGCTCATTCTGATGTCAATCACTGACAAATTGTGCATGAACACTGATATATAATTAAACAAGATGCCAGTTTCTTGTTATAACAATTGACCTTTGTAGTGATGTTCATTCTAAACCCAGGCCGCATGACAGATCTGCTAACATTAAACAAGGCGTTTCCAAAAATTAAAACTGCAGTTCTAACTGCTCTGAAACATCACCGTGGCTCAGGATCCAGATTAGTGTATCTGACAATATGTGTTTCATCACCTATGTCAAATGATTTCTCTTTATTCTGCCATGTCTGAACGTTTCCTGTTATCAATAAAACAAACCATACTACAGAAATCTAAAATAGTTTGAATACTAAGATAACGTGAGCTTATTTTAATAGCTTACTAGTTTACAATTATCCAATGACTTTTTTTTCTGATCAGAGTAGTCTGATATACTTGTTTAATTCATTGTGATGATGAACTTGTTCATATATCAGTCCTGAATAATTCATACATTTACACAAAATGCTGGTTTGGGAGAAAGTGCACAGTAAACATTTTAGAAGTTATCTTAAATTTAGCACGTGGTAATTTTTCACTACACTATTTATGTAAGTATGTGTTAAAAATGTACGTTTGGTCATATTTGGGTGTCAAATAGAAGCAAGCCATAAAGCACATTTATACAATTTAAATAGAGCTCTGAATAGGAGTAAAAATAAACAATCGCTGTTTTAACAGTTACATTTTTATTTAGGGCTTTTTGTTTGAAATAAAAAATTCATTCAAGGAACTTTAGAAATATACTATACTTTTTAATAATTTACTACCTAAATATGTGTATGGCAGCAAAGAGTTATGGTGGATGTTTTCATGTTTAAAAAAGTCAGACATGTGGGAGATAAACAATAAAGTTCATTCAATGCATTCTCCAACAGAATATGACATTATTATTAAATATTTTGTCATCGAACCATTAACAGTGAGTTTAAGTTGTTAACCGTTAAGTTATTTTATGGACACATGTACATGTCAACTGTCACACGAAAAAGATACGTTTCCTCCTTTGTATCCGGCTGTGCAGAAAGATCGTCATTTACAGTAGGTTCACATGTTGGCTTAGCGACGCGTGTAAAGTGCTTGAATCTATGTGTATGTGTGTAAACCTCCAGAACCAAAATACACCTTTGGCCCTAGAGAGAGAAAAACACTCACCTTCTCTGCACAAACGCATGGCTTCTCGATTTTTCCCGAAGTCTTTGAAACTTTCCTCCGATTCAGCACCTGAAAAAACGAGGCGATCCGACACACAGACAAATAAATAGTTGCACTTGCTTGCCTGCTCGTGCTGTTGCTACCAGTAGCGTTTCTTCATATTCCACCAAAAACTGCATGCACTCGGCCAAAAAAGGGACAGGACTGGCAACTGTCTGCGCGCTAACTCGCTTCCTCGCACACATTCGGGGCTGCTAGGAAACTCACCGTCGTAGCCGTGGAGTTTGACGGCGTCGACCCAGTTGCTCCAAGGCTGTCCCAGCATTATTTCTGGACTAGGCAAGGATCTCCGCTCCGCAACAGTCGCCATTGCTGTGGAGCCTTCTCCCCGCTGGATCTGCTGCTGCTTCAGCTGCTGCCTGGCCGCTCGGCGCTGCTCCCCCCTGACGTCATCCTCGGCCCTTTCCGACATTCTTTCCGCTACAATGTAACAACACGAGAGTCAGTGATGGTCGCGATCGGGATAGGAGGACTTTTTCACTGATTGACACGGGCAAAAACAGCGTGTTTTATATGTCCCCGCCCCTCAGAAAACACAAAAGCTCTATGTTGATCATTTAACAGGCTACAGAGCTCTCATACAACACATGACATATGCTGGCAGTTTACTGAGGGTTGTAGGGTTTCCTGGCTAGTTTGGCCTAATTGAATGTACATGCAAATTGCCTCGTGGTTAACGTTGCTAATTAAATATACATTAATCCTAATTACAAAGATAAACATTAAATATATATATAAAAGACGATATTACATTTAGGTTTTTAAGGTGTGCTCTAAAATAGCCGCTGTACCATTACATCTTCAATAAAACAGTATGTTACTGTATGTCATCTTTTGTTGCATCATAGATGCTTATATTTTTGGAATATTTACAGCAGAGGTGAAAAAATATAGCGTCTCAGTTTGGACATCTTATCAGTAACTGCCTATATACTTCCTAAATAAATAAAAGAACCGACATGTGTGTTGTTGGTCAAAAAATAAGGACTTGATTTCCCTCAATATATATGTGATGGTTTGACACTACTAGATTTACAGTCTGCCCCATGCTTGTGCAAATTCTGAATCATATTTTAAAAAATTAAAAAAGTAAGCATTTGAAATAAAAAAATATATATATATTAGCCATGACAATGCTTGACCAAACGTCACATGTTTGGAGACATTATCTTACAGACTGGTGGACAAATGTGAATAACAACACCTAGGAGCAAAATATTTACAAATCTGATTTTGTCTTCCTGGCTGTCAAATAGCTATTTATATAAATTCAGACTCAAATTATATTTGCTGTCAAAATGTAATTCAAATAATAATGTGACACAAATTAAGATGTATAACAGACCTGAACAGATTCCCTGTGGCTCTTAAACTTCGACAGAGTTAACCACAGCAGAGTTGCCTTTACTTTCACTTTCAAAATGAAGGGGAAAAAAACTTAAATGCAAGGCAATGTAGGCTTTGTATCTTTTCTTTACATCGACAATATGTTTGCATGAGAGCTATGATGAAATAATACTATCCCTAACTTATTATCACTTTCTTTTACAATCTTAAATCATCAGGAGATCAGACATCTGTCAGTCCAACATAAAATAAGGCCCAGTTAAAAAGCTTCCCAGTTTTTTCTGATATCAAAAGGTTATATGAAAAAAAATTAACTTGCTAAAAAACAAATAAAAATGGAAGGAAGGTTAAAATAATACCCGTAAATTGGCACGTACCCTGAAGAGCCTTGAGCAAAATGAACTTCCCCTTTTGTTGCTATTTCAAGTGCACAATTCAGAAACTTGGCTTTGGTCCAACACTTAATATAGAAATACAAATTAAGAAGCTTGTCATTTGCCACTGTCTAACCAAATTCCTTCACCCGTTGATTTAATGCAATATATAGAAGATCTGTGGTATACAAGTAGCTCTGTAGCATTTCAATCATTTGACAAACTGGCCTGGCACCAGTGGATTTGTTACGATGATACAAAACTTTAAAAGCATTTGTCAAGAGGAATATCAAACAAATATGTTCTGCTTCAATGTGTAACTTACCCGTTTATCCAGTGCCACAAAAGGCTAACTGTTCCGTTATCTTGCATAACCTGTACATTAGTAGCATAGACTAGCAAACCATGTAGGGTTATGACCTAGTTATTTGTTATTATTTGACCGTCTTCATGAGTGGTACTAACAATCTAACGGTTTTATTCAACAGCCTCTTTCTAGTAATGCGCTCATCAAAGGCATCTTTGTGAGGTTTTCTGTTAATATGCAATTAACGACTAAATGAAAAATCCCTGAACAATATAAAAGCAGTCCAATACAAAAGCCTTACATCGTGCCATTGTGTAGCGCTTGATGTTTGCAGGGATGGTATTGTTGAATTGGATTCCCTATCATTTGAAGAAGGTATCTGTAGTTTGTATACATAGTCAAATAAAAACGTCCAATAAAACAAATTCTTCTTCTGCAGTATGCATGCAACCATATACATCAACAGTGCAACCCAGTGTTTCCCCTACCATTGTCTTGGAGGGGCGCTGCTCCCCGCCAACGGAGCCCCGCGCCCCCCTTGATTTTTTTATTTAATATATATATGTATATAGCACCAAATTGTAACTAATCTATATCTACTGTCACTTTTCACATTGAACATGTGCTCGTTTATGAAATAAACGCTTTCATTTTAAGTTGTGAGTTTAGTGTTTTTGCCCCTAAGAAACACTGATGCATTAATCAATAACAATAATCCACAGCTCCTCTCTCTGCTCCAGAGGATTAAAAAGTATATATCCCCCCCTTCTTGGTGTTCAGACATATCTGTATCAGGGTTTCTGCTAGGATTTTTTCTTGCCGGTCAAATGTCCAGAAATAAGTTATTTTACCGGACATATTTGAAACTTACTTACATGTTTCAATAATAATAATAATAATAATTGTGTAGCAGAGTTTCCATTTGCAGGTAATTACTGGACTATGACTGGATATGCTGATGTTTAAAACTCAGTTACTGGGGCTCTTTTTTATATTGCTTCAGTTTATAATCGTAACGGATCAAAAAGTTGAGATTCATTTTTCAATAAATGATGCGCTTCCACAAACAAAATAATTATTACATTCAAAGAAACTACTTGTAGTAGATAAAGTACATTATTCAAAAGTTTACATGTTAATGTAAACTTTTGAATAATGTACTTTATCTACTACAAGTAGTTTCTTTGAATGTAATAATTATTTTGTTTGTGGAAGCGCATCATTTATTGAAAAATGAANTAAGGCTCGATCTCAGCAAATAGTCCCATCTTTTCCGTGAACTACGGATTCCGTGCTGTTCACTTGATATCAACCAGCAACGCAGCAGTCTTACTTGGCAATACGAACGGAAGGTCAGACTAGGATCCCACGCTAGCAATTCACAACGGAAGCTTCCCGATACGCTTGTTGTAGCTGCGACTAGAGCCTTGAGCGAAAACAACTCTTCGTATCCATTTGCATGGTTGTGTAACACGTGCCTACTGTAACCGCCAAATAAATCTAGTTATTATTCCGCCAGTGTAGTGCTCTCGAGTAGACACCGTCAGCATCGACATAATTTAGGTCCAATGGCGCACTATCTTCGCATCTAGGTCCGTTCATGACCGTACCTCGTCCGCCAGTATGTATCCTATGCGAGTCTTCCACGACGACTAACGTAGGTTAGTACGAACGCTGCCGTGGCCGACAAATCCTGTCAAGGTGCGCACCAGCGGACTTCGACTCGGCAAGTATTGTGGACTGCCTTGCAAGGCGGTCGCATCCTACCGAAGTCGACGTTCGCGGCGTCGCCTTCTGTGCAGCTCGTGTGCGTCGCCACGTATAGCGCGCTTCTACCGACGTGAACGACTACATCTGTATGACGGCACAATCGCGCGCGGACAGTTCCATTGAAGATACGTGAAAAGCATGTGTACTTCGCCGTAGCTATGCGCATTGCAGAAGCGAGGGAGCGTCGCGCAAGAGTCGTAGCAGAAGGCACGCCACTCATCTTCTCCCTGCACTCCGGGGGCGAGGACCAGACGAGGTGCTTCGGTGTTCCTTCAGTCTAGGCAAACACTGCAATAACCCCCCCCTAACACTCCTCTTATTTTTCTGACAAATAAAAGTGAAAAACAGACTCAGTAGTCATTGTTCACCCAAGAGTGTACAGGGTTGTACACCATTTGACGGATTGGACAGCCAATTATCGGTCGTCCCGCGCACCGATTTGCGGACCAAAATTTGAACAGCCAATCTGTGTAAAGTCTCGAGCGATTAATTCGGCCGACGAGTGATTAGATCAAACTATCATCTGTCGCCCGAGCGACGCTTCGACCAAATTGGACAACCAATATTTGATGTCCGAACGGGGCGTAAGAGACAGGCTCTATAGCGGAGCCATGTTGCCCGAACGTCGGCACACCTCCGGGGCCGTCCTGGGAAAGCCAGTGTTCGTTGGAACCCAACGGAGTGCCACGTCGCCGCCGTCCCCGAGAACAGCACAGCAGTGGTACTGCCTAGTTTATATGTAGACCCTCGTCGTGGTCACCGGCGAGAGTGGTCTCAAAAAAGAGTGTCGAGCGTGCGCGCAGACAGGAGTGATCGCTGGATGTGTGCCCCCCGCCGCACGCAACAGCGAAACGGCGCCCCCCCCCCGACTTGAGCTGGTTGTTGGTTAGTGACTTAGAGGGCTGGTCTGTGTGTTCTTCGCCAAACTAACCGAGTCTCGAACATGACCGTATACTAAGCAACCGACTGCGGAGGGCAGCTTCCGCATTTTCACTTGTAACGAGATGAAAACGTCGCATCTAGGCGTCTCTTTTCGATGTGCGAAACGAGTGTGTTACGTCAAGCAGTTTAGCACTGCAGTGGGGTAAGTTTCACTTGCGCCGTCTTCGAAACTTTCGCCGTGCGTGCGGCGACACCATCCACCGCACTACCTGTCTACCTTCTCGGTCCAGACTAGTCGTCTCCTATGCGGACGATCAAACGGAGAGGGGGGGAGGTTGTCAAGTTACCCTATAGTCCCTTTGTGAGGACAGGGGAGGTCTTCGATGCGATACAGAAGGCGCGAGGGTAGTCTCGACCGTACTTGAAGGACAACTTTCTGCCGATAAGAGGCCCCAAGGAGTCCCCTTCTTTTCTGTCCACGACCTACACAAGTGCTTTTTTTTTCCTTTTTTTGTTTTTTTTTTTTTTTTTCTTTGGGCTTGAGTGAAAGGCGGGTGTTGTGGTGGATAGTCCTGTTGACCAAGCTTGAAGTGGACTTCCTACGTATGAAGGTGCATGGTAGTAAGGCTTTGTGTCCTTATCGAAAGAAGCCTATAAAGGACCGAGGGAGCGAAGAAAACACATTTCCGACCTCGTGATTGTGTCTACTCCCCACCTCTCACACCAAAGTAGCCTGCGACGATAAATGACCGACGAGGTCCCTCCTTCACGAAATGTCTCAAATGTAAGCATAGCGTAGACAGTTTCGGACCCAAAGTATTACTTAATCTTTTTTCGACAGGAGAAGGGAGAGCTCTGTTATCAAAAGACTATCACCTTATTTGAGTCGTCTCTCCGCCTAGAGCGACGTCACTCACCTCTTGACTGTCGAGAGGAGACCGCACATTGTTTAGCGTGTCGGGGAGAGGCAGCTGCGGTCTACGAGCCAACCGCAGTC